AAAAAAAAAAAAAAAAACGGAAAGTGAAAATTCACAGTGCTGTTGAACCAAAATACCAGCACTCCTTGAAACGCTGCTCGACCAATCAGATTTAAACGTTCTGTTCAAACAATCTGTTGTATAATTTCAGTACTATGCATATTGTATAAATTAATATATCATTTTTAATTAAGGTATGGGGCCCCAACACAATAAATATGTGCTCTTCTACGCCTAACCCTTATTTTGCTCTCTCTCTCTCATAGTTTATAGTTTATTTACCTCTTCACAACTTATGAAAATTTGATGCTCTCCAGAACACAAATACACACTGGAGCGTTTGCCAAATATTTTTCACCAATATCAAATGGGGCCCCCTGATGCCCCGGGGCCCTAAGCGGTCGCTTACCTCGCTTATTGATTAAGTACACCTCTGCTGAGAGTAAATGTATGTCTGCTGCGTTACCTCTGCCAGATATCTTTTCTATCTCCTCTCAACAGAAATCCTCCAGTTTTTCTTTCAGTTGATAGAGGGACTTTCCCACATCATCAAAAGAGAGGAGAGAGCTGAGAGTGATGTTGGGTTCATCTCCAGATTCAGGAGATACAGCGAGGGACTGGAAACTCTGCAGGAAGAGATCGACACAAAAGATAAAGACAGAAAACAAAGACCTTCATGACCTCCACTCAGCTGCACCAGTTTGATCATATCTGTGTTCTTTATTTGCAATGGTTGTGTTATTCCTACATCATGTTCATGGTGTTCTACTGGGCACTTCTGTTCTAGTAATTTCCACCCAACTTCAGATCGTAGAAATCCAGTCTGAAAATTCACAGTGCTGTTGAACCAAAATACCAGCACTCCTTGAAACGCTGCTCGACCAATCAGATTTAAACGTTCTGTTCAAACAATCTGTTGTATAATTTCAGTACTATGCATATTGTATAAATTAATATATCATTTTTAATTATGATATATTAATATCACTTCCATGGATCTCACTTAGTACTTTAATTGTGACATTTTTTACAAGGTTTGGTTATATGTATATAATATAAATATTTACTTTGAATGTATCTACAATTAACCTTTTAGCATGTTGCTGGTTTGCTGAAAATGTATAAAATCAGAAATGTGTGGAATCAGAAAATAGGTCTGTATTGTTAGGACATACCAATTATCTTTGCTTAATAAACATAAATAGATTTGAATGAAAATGTAAATGTCTTACATTGTAGGAACTCCTCTCTGATCTTGGGTTCATTGGTGGGAATAATTTCAAGTTACCTCTGCCAGATATCTTTTCTATCTCCTCTCAACAGAAATCCTCCAGTTTTTCTTGATGTTGGGTTCATCTCCAGATTCAGGAGATACAGCGAGGGACTGGAAACTCTGCAGGAAGAGATCGACACAAAAGATAAAGACAGAAAACAAAGACCTTCATGACCTCCACTCAGCTGCACCAGTTTGATCATATCTGTGTTCTTTATTTGCAATGGTTGTGTTATTCCTACATCATGTTCATGGTGTTCTACTGGGCACTTCTGTTCTAGTAATTTCCACCCAACTTCAGATCGTAGAAATCCAGTCTATTTATATGGAATACAATGTAAATGTTAGTCCCTCTATATGACTTTCTATTTATTTTATTAACCATGAGGTAAAAATCATAATGGTTAAGAAAAGTAATAGCATCACCTCTCCTCAAAAAGCCACATGACCTATTCATCATTCATGCTCGTAGCACAAACAGTGCAGGATAGGTTAAGCACTAAAGTTTAGTACTTAGGGTTACCAGTTTGTTCAGCTGCATGAGTGTGAGCACCAATATTAATAATGCATTCCACCAATTCAATGAAAATGAAGAAAGCCATTAATGGTAAGGCTTTGATAAAAACAACTCTTCTGTTTTTTCAGCTTACCTTGAGGAACTTGGTGTGACCATGTATATGTGAAATCTGCTCAAGCTCAGCGTGTCTCCTCTTCAGATCATCAATCTCCTGCTCCAGTCGATACACGGGTCCTTCAGCTCGACTCACTGCAGCCCTTTCCCGTTCTCTGATCCGCTGTGTCACCTCAGAGCGGCTTCTCTCAATGGAGCGGATGAGCTCAGTAAAGATCCCCTCACTGTCCTCTACTGCTGTCTGTGCAGAGCGCTGTTAAACACACATCACAATCAGCTCGTACTGGTGTCTCACACAGCCTGTGACCCACAGTGGGCTTCAGTGGGACTGAAAAAGCTCAAACACTGGACGAGAGTCCAAACTGAGTCTTAGACATTTCTTCTTCTCCAACTCACCTCGTGAGACTCCACAGCCTCTCTCAGCTCCTCAAGATCTTTCTGCCTCTGCTGGATTCTCTGCTGGAATTTTCTCTTTCTCTCTTCCAAAACCACCTGTATGAAAATCAAATAACACTGTCAACTTCTGAAATACCGTTTGCAAATGCAAACTATGTCATATGAGACTATAATGAAGCTGAACAACTATGAAGAAAAACAAGTATGAAGAAACTAAATTAACCATGACTGAAAAGATCATTATCATATGGCTTCTGCAATTGCTGCTGGGCTTCGATGGGACTGAAAGAGCTCTGGCAATGGAAAAGAGTCCACTCCAAAATAATTCTTAATCTTCTGTTCTTCTCCAAACTCACTTTATGAGACTCCACAGCCTCTCTCAGCTCAAGATCTTTCTCCCTCTGCTGAAACTTTCTCTGTCGCTCTTTCAAACTCATCTGGATACAAAAACACACACAACTGTTATTGTCCGAATTTATGTGAATGGGGTTTGCAACTTGTATAGTGTGAGATAGCCATGAAGTGAAGATAGATTTTTGATAGCAAGTGTTCAGACACACCTGACGGGACTTGACAGATTTGCGTTTTCTTCGAGTGCAGACGTCAGACTCCACATCTTCAGGTCCAGCCTGGAGTTTAGTCTTCTTCAGTTGCTCCACCACTTCAGTCAGCATGGTGTTTTTATTTAAAGCAGGTCTTGGAGTGAAGGTCTGTCTGCATTGAGGGCAGCTGTAGACTCCCTTCTGATCCTCCTGATCCCAGTAGCTTGTAATACAGCTCATACAATAACTGTGTCCACAGGGAATGGCCACTGGATCCTTCAGGAGATCCAGACACACTGCACAGCTGAACTGGTCCTGAGAAAAACTGGTTTCTGCCATTTCACTGCATGTACATTCAGACAGAGAAACAAACATCAGCTCAACAGCACTTAACTTTCACTTTCTCTGAACGAATGAAACAGTTTCCTGGTTGATGAGACTTGTGCAAAATAGGTGTGTCTAGAACGGGAAGCTTAAGGAATTCAACTCTTCTGGTTCCAGCTGCTTAACGAGCTATGAAAGATTATTTTTGTACTTTATTTTTATTTATTTATTTTTGGAAGAATATAAAAAAAATCTACAGAACAGATGTAACTCATCAAAAATATGAGGCAAATTTAACAAAAAAAAAATATAAAAAGTTAATTTTGTTCCTTATCGCCAATGGGTTTTTGATTTTTTACATGCTCTCAAGACGGAAAAGATTCGGTTCGCAATAAAACAAAAGCCAAAACTTTTTCTGAAAGTGTGGAGCCCTTTTCTGGAATATTTTAAGGAGACAACTACATCTTAATTTTTTTTTTTTTATTATTAATTAATACAAAATTTTTTATTTTATTTTACTTTTTTATTTTTTTCCCCCTAATTTAGTTTATTAGTTATTTATTTGGTGTATAATTATGCTTGCATGGTGTTATCTTTTTTCTTAATTTGAATTCATGTATGGCTGTATGTTGTATGTATATGTGTATCTATGTTATTTATACCATATTTACGTTATTTTTATTTTCTGTCTGACCTAAGATGAACCAAATAAAGCAAAAAAAATAAAACTTTTTATTGACTTCTCAACTCTTAGAGGTGGAGTTAAAGCAATCCAATTGGATTTTGTAGATAAAAACACTCAACAACATTATATAGGCCTATATTATACATTTATATATGATATATGGCTTATAAAGTGAGTGTATTACTGAACAGTTTTACTAATCCACAGTTTTTATCCACTACGAAGAACCAACTCATTGGAGTTTTTTGAAGGAGCTGCCAACACTAAACTGGTGACTGGTGACTATGGCTCACCATTTTGTGCAGTTTCACAGATACTAAAAAATCAGTAATGAATCAAAAGCCTTTTAAACACACACTTACAGTTTTCAAAGTGAAAACATTCGTGCACAAGTTGCACTTGTTCTTTATCATATTCAAAAATGTGATTATATCTTTAAATATCATCATGTTTAGATGATGGGGCGCTTGACAACTTTACAAAACAGACAGGATGTTTTTAGTGAACGGATTCAAAAGATAACGGATGAATAATAATCCCTGCTACAGTCAGGGGTGAAGCTAATCAGCAACTCCTCATATAGTCACGTGACCCAAAGACGCACGTAATGCGGAAGTAAAACAGAGTGGACGCTCACAAAACATTAGTAGAGAAGAGCAGATCATTTGACCAAGATTATGGATGAGTCATTCATACCTTAATTATACACCTCATATCACAGCAAAACATGATACAGAATTACGTGAAATGTGCCAGCAGGTGGCGGTATGCATCTAAAAAGCTAGTTTGCAACCCACCGAAGAAAACTAACTAAGAGTGGCTGGTCTCTGACTTACTGAAACATCTATGTTCGAGCAGCATTATTGACTTGTTTACAGCAACCTGGCGGACGGTTTGGTAAGCAAGCAGGGAAACGGGTCAGAGATTAGGGCTTTTGTCAGCCTTTGCTGTCCTCGGAGCTCAGCCGCTGTTGTTCAGAGGCGGTTTTTAAGGACAGTGTGCTGCTGTGGGAATGTGCGCTTTTAATGCGGCGAGCGGCCCAGTGTCGACTGATAACCTCGCGAGCCCCTTACACACATGCTGGAGTGTTATCGCTCTTCACACCCGTCGTGCATTACTCCGCGATGTTTAGGGCGATATCATGCATATAATGATTGCAGTGTGATACAGAGGAGTGAAACTGCATTTTCCAGACAGCACTGGATATCATGACTGACATTCAGCTTCATACTTCGAGAGAGAACTGCGCGGTTTTCTGCTGACTGTGTTTTGGACAAGAAGCCTATGAGCTGCGAAAGCCCACGGGACACATTTTCTGGATTTTCTGAAGCGTTAAAGCCGCCAACATGAGGATCTTCAGGACTTTGATGAACGCTGCATCCGTCGCCAAGCAAATCGACTTTTACTCCAGATTCTCTCCTTCTCCTCTCTCTATGAAACAGTTCATAGACTTTGGTGAGTCCGGAATCAAATGCTCACGATTCAATATGAGGACAGAATTAAACCGAAAAGAGTCAACGGTAAAACTTTACAATAGGGTTCATTAGTTAACTACGGTAGTTCACATGAACTAAGCATGACTCATGAGCAATACTTCTAAAGCATTTATTAATCTAATGTTATTGTCAACATTGTGCAAAGTTGTGCTTGTTAATGCACAAAGTAAATGCACTGTTGAACAGTGTTGGGGAAAGTTACTTTTAAAAGTAATGCGTTACAATATTGCGTTACTCCATAAAAAGTAACTAATTACGTTACTTCGTTACTTTTTATGGAAAGTAATGTGTTACATTATTTTTGCGTTACTTTTTAAATCTGGACAGGGCTTGCTTGTTTGTTTTTAAAATAAAAAGTTATATTTTTGGCAAATATAAAAGCCTTTTCACACCAGAAGTGAAATGAATACGCCTCAGGCTGAAGGGAAAGTAAATTTACGTCCATACAGTAGAATGCAGAAGAAGACATTTCAACACACTTCAGCAAGAAACAAAGACACAAATGTTTGTCTAGTAATTTGTGCTTATTTGTACGGTTGAACTGGATCATCGAAGGTCAGAAGCAAAGACATTGGTTAATAGAATGGGATTAAATACATAAAGCATATTTGTGTTGTTTAACATTTAATTATTACAGGTTTGCGTCATATTCTGAGTTGCATTATTTTTATTCATTTTGAGGAATACTTTTGAAAAAGTAACTCAGATATTCTCTTGTAAATTAAAAAGTAATGCGTTACTTTACTAGTTACTTGAAAAAAGTAATCTGATTACGTAACTCGCGTTACTTGTAATGCGTTACCCCCAACACTGCTGTTGAACTAACAGTGAAAACTATTTTCATTAACTATCATTAACAACGATTAATAAATACTGTAATGCATGCATTAATTGTTCATGTTAGTTAATAAATTAACTAATGAAACCTTATTGTAAAGTGTTACCGAGTAAACAAACAAAAAGTGCTGTACATTGTCAGATGAGAATACCATGCCACAGAATTATTATATTCATGGTATTTCTGTAAGTGCTATAGAATACAATCAAATAGATCCAATCTGAAAGTAGAGTAGAATTGAATCAAACAAGTCCAATCCAAAAGTTGGGATTTTTCAAATGTAATCCTTGCAGTACAATGATGAATTTAATAGATTAGAATAGAGTAGGATGTTACAAAATAGCACTACAGTGATAGTAGGGTTTGATGTGATTAACAGTAATTGTGCATATGTTGGATTTCCATATCCATGTTAGGTATTTCATATTTTAAACAAATCTAATGTTCTTTTAATAGACCTAATAAACCTAAATAGGCAACACAATTACTAAAACCTACTCACTACAGTTAGTGAAAGCAGAAAATGTAAAAATACAATCTAATTAAAGATATAATGTGTTGTGAGCTGGATAGAATCAATGCGTGCACCCAAGCGTGACTTGATGGTGGTGTTTTCTGTCTCTCTGTACACTTGTCTCTGCAGGTTCAGAGAACGCATGTGCGAAAACGTCATTCACGTTTCTAAGACAGGAGCTGCCTGTCAGGCTGGCAAATATTATGAAAGAAATCGATTTATTGCCTGATAATCTCCTGAGGACTCCTTCAGTGCGCCTGGTGCAGAGCTGGTCGGTGTCAGTGCGCACATGCAGTCTTATTATTCTGATATGAGTGCGTGTCTAAACTGCGTTCTGTGGTTGTGTTGCGTCTCTGCAGGTACATGCACAGCTTCCAGGATATACTGGAATTCAAGGACAGGGATGTTGATGATGAAATGCTCAAACAAGAGTAAGAGATTCATCAAATACCTTCTAGTAGAGGTCTTCTTGGGTCCTAAGGATGGACCCTTTTCAAATTGCCAGGGTTATCAGAAGCAGAAATCATCATAGTTGGCTAAACATCTATAGTGGGGAACTCTACTACAACTAATATAACCGTTGCGTTCACATTTGCCCCAATAGCTATATTAGCATTTAGTGATAGAATGTCTGTGACTTTTCCAAATATAGATATAAATATGTAAAATGTATATATAGAGAGCTTGATTAAGTTGGTAAGACGAGAGAAAGATGTCAAATATACACAAAGTATAGTTATAAATGTGCATAACATTTTTTAATATGAAAATATAAAAAACTTTGCTCGATTTACAAACTGTCATAGAACAAAAAAACTTTAAAAGTAAAACTTTAAATTAAAAAATGTTTGTATAATAAAAAAAATGGCATTTTTATTTTATTAAATGTTGGTCAGAAGAAAAAAACTTGTCAAATTTGCCGTCGCTGTATTAGAAACATTCATGCAACAACATTAACTAGTTTTCTGTAATTTAATGCCGATAAATTTATTTAGTTTTTTTTAATGAAAATATAAAAAAAATAGCTAGATTTACGATATTAATAAGAATGGAATCGTGTCATCATGTTGCTGTTGCACGCACCTGTATACTGTAGGGTTTGGTCATTTACATAGAAGCATGGATTGACAGAAGAAGGGGGATAAAAAAAAATAAAAAAATGATTGATGTGTTTTTTACATAATAAAATATTGCTCAATGCTCAAAATTAAAAATTAAATGTTGGCATATTTTAAAATAATTCAGGTCTTCTCAGGTCTATTTGGTAAAACTGCATTTATTTAAAATGATCCCATTTGAAAAAGTAACTCAGATATTCTCTTGTAAATTAAAAAGTAATGCGTTACTTTACTAGTTACTTGAAAAAAGTAATCTGATTACGTAACTCGCGTTACTTGTAATGCGTTACCCCCAACACTGCTGTTGAACTAACAGTGAAAACTATTTTCATTAACTATCATTAACAACGATTAATAAATACTGTAATGCATGCATTAATTGTTCATGTTAGTTAATAAATTAACTAATGAAACCTTATTGTAAAGTGTTACCGAGTAAACAAACAAAAAGTGCTGTACATTGTCAGATGAGAATACCATGCCACAGAATTATTATATTCATGGTATTTCTGTAAGTGCTATAGAATACAATCAAATAGATCCAATCTGAAAGTAGAGTAGAATTGAATCAAACAAGTCCAATCCAAAAGTTGGGATTTTTCAAATGTAATCCTTGCAGTACAATGATGAATTTAATAGATTAGAATAGAGTAGGATGTTACAAAATAGCACTACAGTGATAGTAGGGTTTGATGTGATTAACAGTAATTGTGCATATGTTGGATTTCCATATCCATGTTAGGTATTTCATATTTTAAACAAATCTAATGTTCTTTTAATAGACCTAATAAACCTAAATAGGCAACACAATTACTAAAACCTACTCACTACAGTTAGTGAAAGCAGAAAATGTAAAAATACAATCTAATTAAAGATATAATGTGTTGTGAGCTGGATAGAATCAATGCGTGCACCCAAGCGTGACTTGATGGTGGTGTTTTCTGTCTCTCTGTACACTTGTCTCTGCAGGTTCAGAGAACGCATGTGCGAAAACGTCATTCACGTTTCTAAGACAGGAGCTGCCTGTCAGGCTGGCAAATATTATGAAAGAAATCGATTTATTGCCTGATAATCTCCTGAGGACTCCTTCAGTGCGCCTGGTGCAGAGCTGGTCGGTGTCAGTGCGCACATGCAGTCTTATTATTCTGATATGAGTGCGTGTCTAAACTGCGTTCTGTGGTTGTGTTGCGTCTCTGCAGGTACATGCACAGCTTCCAGGATATACTGGAATTCAAGGACAGGGATGTTGATGATGAAATGCTCAAACAAGAGTAAGAGATTCATCAAATACCTTCTAGTAGAGGTCTTCTTGGGTCCTAAGGATGGACCCTTTTCAAATTGCCAGGGTTATCAGAAGCAGAAATCATCATAGTTGGCTAAACATCTATAGTGGGGAACTCTACTACAACTAATATAACCGTTGCGTTCACATTTGCCCCAATAGCTATATTAGCATTTAGTGATAGAATGTCTGTGACTTTCCAAATATAGATATAAATATGTAAAATGTATATATAGAGAGCTTGATTAAGTTGGTAAGAAGAGAGAAAGATGTCAAATATACACAAAGTATAGTTATAAATGTGCATAACATTTTTGAATATGAAAATATAAAAAACTTTGCTCGATTTACAAACTGTCATAGAACAAAAAAACTTTAAAAGTAAAACTTTAAATTAAAAAATGTTTGTATAATAAAAAAAATGGCATTTTTATTTTATTAAATGTTGGTCAGAAGAAAAAAACTTGTCAAATTTGCCGTCGCTGTATTAGAAACATTCATGCAACAACATTAACTAGTTTTCTGTAATTTAATGCCGATAAATTTATTTAGTTTTTTTTAATGAAAATATAAAAAAAATAGCTAGATTTACGATATTAATAAGAATGGAATCGTGTCATCATGTTGCTGTTGCACGCACCTGTATACTGTAGGGTTTGGTCATTTACATAGAAGCATGGATTGACAGAAGAAGGGGGATAAAAAATAATAAAAAAGATGATTGATGTGTTTGTTTTACATAATAAAATATTGCTCAATGCTCAAAATGAAAAATTAAATGTTGGCATATTTTAAAATAATTCAGGTCTTCTCAGGTCTATTTGGTAAAACTGCATTTATTTAAAATGATCCCAAACCGCACTTGGGTCTCGATCCATGTGCACCCGTGAAGACCTCTACCTTCCAGCCCTACCTGTGCAAACACACACACAGACAGACACACACACAGACAGACACACACACA